GGATAGGGAGGCAACCAAGTTCCTACCTTGTATCTGAGGACAAACCAAGGAAGAGCAACAGGATGGAAGGAGTCTGGGTTCCTTGATGACCTAATGGAGCAAAGAAAGAGAACTGATATCCAACCATGACCTTCTTAAAACCATGTTTAATTTTAACCAAAGACTTGGGTCCATACAAAGTCTGTGGCATGAATGAAGTGGAATGACACACTATAAAAGCTTGTTGCCCTGGCCGGTGTGGCTCAGTTGATTGGGTATTGTCCTGGGCACCAAAAAGTTACTAGTTCAATTCCAGGTCAGGGCACTTGCCCTGGTTGTGGCTCAATCCCCAGTAGGGGGCGTGCAGGAGGCAGCTGATGGACGTGCTCTCACATCAATGTTTCTCTCTTCTCCCTTTCTCTCTCTAAAAATCAAACTTTTTTTTTTTTAAATCTTGCCTCCCTTCCTCTCTCTAAAAATCAATAAACTATTTTGTTTAAAAAATCTTGTGAGCATTCCATAAAACCCAAAGCCAAGCAACTGGTTCCTGTAAAACTATAATGCGCAGGAAGGTAGCTGCACAAACAGAAACTCATGTAAATAGAAAAAGGCACCCACTCTAATATACAAGTTAGAAGGTGCCCAGTTTGCAAACTGTGGAAAACACAGCCCCATTCGCATGCCCTTAGCCAGGTGCAACCTGCACGGTCAGTCATACCTAAAGGTTTATGTCTAAATGCAGAAACAAAAGTGGAGGGAGGAGTCGTGTATCTAAATGAATTTCATACAAAGTGAACCGTTTTCAGGGCGTTGAGGAAATTTTCTATTTAAAGAAATCCTGCTGTGAACTCCTTTCTAGAGAGGAATTAGTCACCACTGAGTCATCTGTGCAAAATTCAGATTCGCAATTTGGCCTAAGATCTGTGAACGGAGACATCAGATAAATTAAGATACTGTTATAAACGAGAGAGGAATCAATGGCAAAAGTGGAAAGAAGCCCTAGCGGGTTTGGCTCAGTGGATAGAGCGTTGGCCTGCGGACTGAAGGGTCCCGGGTTCGATTCCAGTCAAGGGCACATGTCTGGGTGGGGGCACGGTCCCCAGTGGGGGGTGTGCGGGAGGCAATCGATCAATGATTCTCATCGTTGATGTTTCTGTCCCTACTTCTCTGAAATCAATAAAAAATATTTTTTTAAAAAGTGGAAAGAAAAGCACGACGTGCGGATGTGAACCTGATTGACAACGGGAGACCGTAAAGCCAGTGGTTCTCGACCTTGGCTGCACATGAGAATCACCTGGGAATCTTCTTAAAGTCCTGATTTCTGGGCCTCATCCTCCGGAAATTCTGTTTCTTTGTTACTAATGCTGTGGCCCCACCCCATAACAAAGAAACAGAATTTCCGGAGGATGAGGCCCAGAAACCAGGATTTTAAGAATGTTGTGGCTTCAACCCAGAACAAAGAAACAGAATTTCCGGGGGGATGAGGCCCAGAAATCAGGATTTTAACAAGATTCCCAGGTGATTCTCAAGTGCAGCCAAGGTTGAGAACCGCTGCCTTAAAGCCGCCTCCGCCGGCACCGGCTCGCGCAGAGTCCGCCTGCGGTGGGACTGTGACACGTGCGCCTGGGGACAGGAAATCGGCTCCGTCCAGTCGGAAAGCGAAGGAACCAAAGGACAGTAAAGAACAACTCCGAAGGAGCTTCCGAAGAGCTTCAGGAAGCAAGAGGCTATTAACTAACAATGGGAGCCTACTCAGCCGCGTTCTCATCCCGCCCCGCCCCGGTTGCCCTGACAACCGGGTGGCGTCGGG